GCGCGCGCACATACACACACAGACACACACACACGCTCACACATCCACACCCACTCACTCACACACAAACAGGCACGCACACACATACACACACACGCACACACACACACACACACATACATACACACACGCATACCCACCCACCCACACGCACACAAGTATGAAACTAAAAATGGCGTATGGGTGATGGAGGAAACTAGGAAACACAACCAACAACCCAAATAACGTGGTTGAAATATGATATGTGAGGCAGCGTGATGGAATCAAGGCTCTCGTCAACTTTTGGGCATATTGAGTTATTGGTATCATCTTAAAGCTTTCTCATTTGTCTTGCTTTCAATGAAAAAATTACCCATTCATCTTCAATAGAAGTGGAGATATTTTGGATTGAAGGAGGTGGGTGTCACCTGATTTAGGAAGTAAAATTAGCGAGAAAATGGCCGCCAAAGCTTGGGAAATTCCAAAGCTGGAGAGTCCATGGAAACTGTAAATTTATATTTTTGTGCCTTTAATCACTGTTTTCGGTGATTATCCTCAAAGGAATGTGTTTGTAAATGGACATAAAAGGTGTTGAGCCAAAAAATTAAAATTTGATAAAAATTGCAAATCAGGGAGAAAACTGTTGTTTTCTTCGATTTCAGTATTTTGACGAGAGCCTGATTCCACCACGCTGCCTCACATATGATATCGTTGTTTCGTCTGTGCTGACTGGCTGATGGAAAAAAACAACAACCAAAAAAGAAAGAAAAAACCAACCCAGCAGCACCACCACCCCGCGCCCCCTTCCAAAACCCTCCCAAGTGCTAACAGAAGGCTTTCATAACAATACTAATAGTGTCTCGTGTGTGTTGTTCTGACTGATGGAGAGTCACATTAAAAAGAAATAAAAAGACAAGAAAGGAATAAAAGTGTGAATAAAAAATTATACCATTGGGCTGAGTTACTGATGGTACAGTCAGGAATGAGACACGAATGTGAGCAAGACAAGATAAATAGATAATTTAAATATTACATATCACTGAGGGTGAGGGGTTTGTCGTAGGAACAGGAAGAAGAAAGTGAAGTAATGGTTGATGGTGTGTTTATTGGAGGTGGGGG